TTAGCCAGGATGGTCTTGATCTCCTGACCTCGTGATCCGCCCGTCTCGGCCTCCCAAAGTGCTGGGATTACAGGCTTGAGCCACCGCGCCCGGCCAGGACTCTTATTTTTAAACTTGACTGTGTAAATATATGAAAAATAAAGCAGTTCTTAAAAGTTTACCATGTAATAAGAATATGAAATATTATTCATGACTTACGAAAGATTTTAGGGTTTTTTTGATTAGAATAGCAGGATACCTAAAGCCATATTTAGTTCTGATTTTATCCTTAGTAAATAAAAAAGGCTCAAAGGACTTGTAAATGTTATATTAATGATGACTTAGAAGGTGTTTATGTGGATATACATGTATTGTCTGTAAATGCATGTGCATGTGCGTGAATGGATGTGTCTCTGTAATGGCTGGAAAATTATTCAATATATAGAGTAAAATTATTTCTACAAGTTAATAATGTTAAATATTAGCAATTTCTTAGGATTTGATATGACATGAATCATAGCTTCTGACCATCCAGAGTGTTATCGTTATTAAATAAATGTATGTATTTTTCTATTTACTTAGTCTTCATGCTTTTGTTTGCCTAATATCCTTTGAAGCCCAACCTTATATATTATACAATCCTATTATTACAATTGCTATTATATTACTCCCTAGAAACATACTTTTCTAAACTAATTCATGTGATTAATGTCTCAGATTATTCAGTGATGTTGCACTGGTATAAAATCTTACTGGGAATATCTGGAACCCTGAATGGTATTCTGGCTTTGGCTTTGATCTCCCTGATCCTGTTGGGTAAGTTAGAAGATCTTAATTAAATAAAAGTATGAAAGATGTTTACTTGTTTCTTATAAATCTTTTTATAATTATTCCTTCATTCTTCATGACATTAACCAAGATTGAATTAGAAGCTACTGCATGTAAAACTCTATTAGCACACTACACGGTGCTATATTTAATATGCAATCAAATCAGGTAAGTATCTTGTCCTCAAGTAGCATACAGTCTAATACGGAGAAAGGAGTGTATGTGTAGAGTGTGTGTGTGTGTACGTGTGGTATTTGAAACCATTTTTCTGTGTTTCTTAGATACTGGTAATAGATACAATTTTACTGTTTTGCTTAAACATTTTAATGCATTTTATCTAAGGTTGTATTTAGTTTGCTTTTCCTTTTGTCCAACAAATATTCACTGAGCAACTACAATACTCCAAATATTACAAATTCCTCGAAACTTTTAAGAAAAGAATAGTCAGGGTGAGGAATGTTATATTCTAGTGGGAGAAACAGATATTAAGTAATTATGTCACAATGTGCTGAGTACAGTATTGGAGGTTGCAGCAAAACATTAAGAAAGGATGAAAAGAGGCTATACACTTCCCAGAGCAGAAACTTGACTTTATTTACTATTGTATTACCAGTTCATAGGGATGCCTGGCATGGAAGAAATTCTCACCAAGTATGTGTTGTATACATGAATTGATTGCGTAAGACTTTGAATTCTTTCCATCCGTAGACATGAAAATTTTAAAAAGATCCTAGTGACCCCTTCAATTATTTCTTGTTCCAATCATCAGAATTATCCCGATGAATGTGTCTCTGAGACATTCCACGGAGAACATATTTACCTAACCTTAAAATATTCAAGTTTCTCAGGGAGTATTGCTAAAATGCCAAAAAGGAAGTCATTCAAATACCACCGAGCATGAAGATATTGGAGACCTAAAAACGAATAACGGCACAAGAAGAAATACAAGTAATAAGGACCTTTGTGTTTCGAGATCTGCAGACCAGACAGGTATGTCTCAAGGCTTTGGCTTATCCTTGTTTTAATCTTTTGGACTCTCTAAATGTTGAGCATTTTTGAACAGGTATGCAATAGATTAAACTAACATGTAAAAGTTTGGTATAAATCTACATTTTATTCAAAACTTGATTTAGATTTTTTTTTCTTTTTCTTTTTTTTTTTTGAGACAGTATCACTCTGTCACGCAGATATCTTTAAACTTGTTGCAGTGGGAGAAAAATTGTAAAACAACATAAGAAATAGGCTCTTCCCTCTAGGAATTTAAAATCAAGTTGATACATACAAATACGGAAAATTAGTTGTTATTAAAAAGCAGTATGTAAATAGCCATTCTTGCTTGTCACTTATTTATTCTTCTTTTTCTGAAATACGGACTGGATAAAAGTCAATATTTTAAAAGTTATTCGTTATGATTTTAAGCTTAGACTTTTAAGCTTAGAAATTCCAGTCATACAGAATTTTGATAATATTACCTTCTATTTTTAAATGTTTAAGTTGAACTTTTAAATACTTAACAGATAATTTTGACATTTATTTTATTGTATGAGATGATATATTATGACTTTCCAGATAAATGCATAATTATTATAAAAGGATTTTTTCTAATCTGCTAGTTCATATTGCCTCCTTTATCATATGTGAAAATTTTACATACTTTATGTTCTACTGATTGACACTCTCTTCATTTGGCTTATCTGTCTGTTTCACAGGTATACGTCCCAAACCAATAGAGATATTGTAGCTTTGTCTCATATTTTATTGTCTCCCTATCTCTAATGTCTGTCATTGTGTTGGGTATCATTGCAATAACACCTTAGAAAAGTTAAGGTGGCTTTGGTAGGTAAACATGGAATCATATACATGTCATTAAACATTAATTAAAGTAGGGTATAAATACTGTATATTGAGCTATAATATATTTATTTCCTATTCCTTTTTTTAACAGAGGTACAATTCAAAAACTTGAACCTTTAAAAGTAAACAATTTCATGATGTTTAGAACCTTCAAACATTGTGCAACTACCGTGTTTATCTAGTTGAAAAACTTTTCCCAAAAATAAATCCCTTACATACCCAATAAGCAAATCACTCTCCATTCCCCCCGCATTTAGCCTCTGACAACTACAAATCTTCTTTCAGTCTATACGGATTTACCTATTCTGGATTTTCATGTAATAGAATCACACAATATTTGGCCTTGGGCTTCTTTCACTTAGCATAATGTTTTTAAAGTTCATCCACATTTTATTCTTTTTTATGGGTGAATAATAGTTCATTGTGTGTATATATCTGTAAATATAGAAACATACATATTTATATGTATCTCTATATCTATAAATATTGATAGTCATATGTATATCTGTAAATATAGATATGCACAATGTTTGTGTGTGCAGAGCTTAAAGGTCAGTCCGATGTGAGATCTTAGGACCTTTTCAGGTGATTTCTGAGCATGCACCCAGCCCAGGGCTTGTGCCTGGCCTTCCAGATTTTCAGGATTATGTGGGAGCTTTTCAAAGTCCTTATTAGTGAAACAGCTCATCCCCCAGCTTTTCCTCTCAAGCTTTTCAGTTAGTCCTGTTGTTTGTTCCAACTATTGTACGTTGCCTCATGTGACAAAAGCTAACACATTTAACTTAATTTTTACAAATATCCTTTGGTAGCCTCATGGCAGGTATCTAAGTCTTCTTTACTGGCAGTGATATCTACTGCTAAAACAATTCAAGAGTCCATAGATGCTCTGGATTTCGTGGAAACTCATGAAAGACAAACTCAGTTACTGTTGTCTGCTAATTCTACAAATAACACCTCACCTGACTTGAATCAAAATCACCACTGATAGCAAGGCCATCTCTTCGCTAGGCCAAACACACAACTTACAGCCAGGCCCCTGGTCCAGGCTGAGCCCTGAGAAAAAGAGAGTTTATATTGGACCCCAAAAGACAGGTGGGTCCCAGGTTGGATAATCTCTGGTAGAATGATGAAACAATTGCAATACTTACTAGGGTTAGAGGACAACAGTGCCAGGCTTCTCCCTAGCTTCGAGAGGCAATCTTTCCTTCTGCACCTCCTTCTGTATCCATGAGTAGCAGGACCCCACTCCCACATAGGGATATGGTGGGCATGAAAGCAGGTGTCTTCTAGTAGATATTCACTCTTTTACCAAATTAATTGAGGTTGAGTCTCCAAAAAATAATCAACTTTGACTGGCTCTGACTGACTTTTAGACATGAATGCCCCAATTCCTCTTATTCCAGGAAGCACTCATAAATTAAAGTGATTTTTCTGGGAGGTGAATAGCTTTGAGGAAGGGTAAATTAAAGAGGCAATTCCCTGCTCAAATATTAAATTTGGTCCCATTTTGCTGAAAGATGCTTTCATCCTGGTTGTCCCTCAAGACTGTTCCTTTGCTCATCCTTGAAATGGACCTTCTCAGTCAGCACGTGATCTCATGGAAAGCTTTTACACTATTGGCGGGCACTACATAGTGGAAAACAGTTAATCTTCCCCACCAGTGTGAGTGGTAAATATTCCAAGATACCAAGCAAGGCAAAGCACTGCAGGATTGTGGTCTGTTATAGCTGACTTTGTCAAAGGAATTCTATTCTTCACCATGTTGCCTTTTAACTTCCTGGTATGGCCTATGTGTAAAGCCACTACTAGAGAGTGAAGGCTAACTATAGACTACAGAGAGTTAAGAAATATTATTCCTTTTATTAGAGCACCTTTATTGGATAATTGCTTTAATGAATGACCTTCAAAACATAGGTAAATGGTTTGGGAACAGACTTAGCTAACGTGTTCTATTTAGTAAAAATTTTTCAGGAGAATCAATCACAATTTGCCTTCACATTTACTTGGTTGCTGTGGACTGAATGGTACCCTCCCCTTAATTCATATATTGAAACTCTAACCCCCAATGTGATGGGATTTGGAGATGCGGTCTTTAGGAAGTAATTAGATTTAGATGAGGTCATGTGGATATGTCTTACTTAGTTTGGGGTGCTACAGCAAATTACCATAAGCTAGGTTGCTTATAAACAACAGATATTTATTCCTCACAGTACTAAAGACTGGAAGTCTGAGATTACAGTGCCAGCATGGTTGGGTTCTGGTGAGGGCCCTCTTCTCTGTTGCAGACTGCCAGCTTCTCATTGAAATCTCTCATGGCAGAAAGCAGAATGACTCAAGTTATCTCAGGACTCTTACAAGTACTAATCCCATTCTGATCTTCATCTGTTCTTAGCTCCCAAATGCCCACCTCCTAATACCATCATATTGGGAGGTAGGATTTCAGCATATGAATTTTGGGGTATGCAAATATTCAGTTCATAAAGTTTTACCTCTGAATTCCCAAAATTCATGTCCTTCTAACGTGTCAAATGGAAAAGACAACACACCAAAAGAGAAAGATATATTTGCAAATCATGTGTTAGATAGGGGTATAATATTCAGAACATATAAAGAACACTTATAACTCAAAAACACAACCCAATTTAAAAATAAGCAAAGGACATGAATAGACATTTCTCCAAAAAACACTATACAAAAGGCCAATAAGCACTTGCAAAGATGTTTAATATGATTATTCATTAGGGAAATGTGAAATCAGAACCAGGGTGGAAAGCCGCTGCACACCCACCAGGATGGCTACAATCACACAAAAAGAGCAAATGTTGGTGAGGATGTGGATAAATCGCTCACATATTGCTGGTAGAAATGTAAAATTTTATAGTACTGCGGAAAACAGTTTGGCAGTTCCTCAAATCATCACATGACCTGACATTCAACTTTTAGGTATATATCCAATAAAATGGAAGACATATGTCCTTACAAAAATTTGTACATGGGCCGGGCGCGGTGGCTCACGCCTGTAATCCCAGCACTTTGGAAGGCCGAGGCGGGCGGATCACAAGGTCAGGAGATCGAGACCATGGTGAAACCCCGTCTCTACTAAAAATAGAAAAAATTAGCCGGGCGCAGTGGCGGGCGCCTGTAGTCCCAGCTACTCGGGAGGCTGAGGCCGGAGAATGGCGTGAACCCGGGAGGCGGAGCTTGCAGTGAGCCGAGATTGCGCCACCGCACTCCAGCCTGGGCGACAGAGCGAGACTCCGTCTCAAAAAAAAAAAAAAAAAAAATTTGTACATGAATGTGCGTAGTAACAATATTCATAATAGCCAAAGAATGGAAGCGGCTCAGATATCTGTCCTTCAGCTGATAAAGAGATAAACAAAATACACTACGTACATGTTATGAAATATTCTTACAACCATAAAATAGAATGTAGTACTGATACATGCTACAACTTCTACAAGCCTTGAAAACATGGTGCTGAATGAATGAAAAAGCAGATGCAAAAGGCCATATATTGTATGATTCCATTTATATGAAGGGTCCATCATAGTCAACCCCATAGTGACATAAAGTGGGCTAGTGGTTGCCAGGGCTGTCGGAGTAGAAAATGAGTAGTGACTACTTAGTGTTTATATGTAATGCAAATGCTCTGGAATGAGATAGTAGTGACAGTTGTACAACATTGTGGGTGTATTAAAAGCCACTGCATTTGCACTTTAAGATGGCCAAAATGGTGAATTTTATGTTACGTGAAGAAAAATAGTCATGGTAAGAAATAAATAAAAAGAGAGAGATTGTAATGGGTCATAAGTTAAAATAGTTATATTGGTCTTTATTTATATTTTTATATATATCTCACTTTTTCTCAATATGATGTCAAAAACCTCAATATTTCCATTTAATTTAATTTTCCTTAATATTAACTTAGGAAAATCAAAGAACTACATAATATTGCAGTTATTAAGAGGTTGAAAATAAAGAAGTTGAAAATAAAGTGTTATCTTCCTTGGCATAATTTAATCATTTAATTATTAATTACTTAATATTAAGAGGGAGAAGGGGATACACATACAAAGCTACAAGGAGAGTGATTTGAAAACTTTGTGTGGTTTTTATTTGCATTTCCTCTAATGATCAGTGATGTGAACCACGATGAGGTACTAATTCACATCAGTCAGAATGTCTATTATTAGAAAGTCAAAAAATAACATGCTGGTGAGGGTGTGGAGAAAAAGGAATGCTTATACACTGGTGGCGGAAGTATAAATTTGTTCAGACTGTGTGGCAATTCCTCAAAGATCTAAGGACAGAAATACCATTCAAATTCAACCCAGCAATCCCATTACTGGGTATATACCCAAAGGAATGTAAATCATTCTATTGTAAAGACACATGTATGTGTATGCTCATTGCAGCACTATTCACTATAGAAAAATCAATCTAAATGCACATCAATAGTAGACTGGATAAAGAAAATGTACATATACACCATGGAATACTATGCAGCCATAAAAAAGAATGATATCATGTTCTTTGCAGAGACATGGATGGGGTTGGAGGCTATTATCCTTAGCAAACTAATGCAGGAACAGAAAGCCAAACATCGCATGTTCTCACTTATAAGTGGGAGCAAAATGATGAGAACACATGGACACATGGAGGGAAAAAACACACACACTGGGGCCTACTTGAAGGTGAAGGGTGGGAGGAGGGAGAGGATCAGAACGAATAACTAATGGGTACTGGGTGCTACCTGGATGTTGAAATAATCTGTACATCAAACCACCATGACACAAATTTACCTGTGTAACAAACCTGCACGTGTACCCCTGAACTTAAAAGTTAAAAAAAAACTTTGTGTGGATAAATTCTAAGTAACACAAATTACATTTTATCTAATCTCTCAAATAGCTATTTTATTTTGTTCATGCTATTTCTGTCAATATAATAGATCTTGGCATCAAAATTCCCATTATGTCTAGGTTTTGCTTCATCTCATTAAATTAATTGTCTTAACTTCCAAGGACCATCATTTGTGTTTTGGCCATCTTTTATGTCTGGACAATTTGCTATGAGTGACTTTATTGTAGCTCAACTCTTATTTTTACAATATATAAGTGTTGTTCTTACTGCCAATTTTCAGAGATGCATATGTACTTTAATTTCATTTTGTTTTCTACATTTCTCTGTAGTACTATGCCAATCAGAATGGCTCAAATACCAAGGGAAGTGTTATTGGTTCTCTAATGAGATGAAAAGTTGGAGTGACAGTTACGTGTATTGTTTGGAAAAAAAATCTCATCTACTAATCATACAGGACGAACTTGAAATGGTAATTGGTCTAGTATCAGGGTTATGGCATCTTTGCAGTTGAAAATGGCTTTCCTTAAGTATCTTTCCATCTTTGCATTAAATCATCATTTACTTTGATTATGAAGTTTTGGGCACTGTCTTAAATTTTGTATTCCAAGCAAGGGCCTCACTTCTCATGCTGGATCTGGCCCAAATTCGTATATTCAACTTGCAATTGCGTGTGTGTGTAACATACATATGATATAACGTGTGTATAAGTAAGATATGAATTGCTTATCATAAGAATCCCCATGCAGAGTGCTCTTTTGCAATAAAATTTAAAATCTTCAGTGTGTCTGAATTGCTGAAATATTTTGTTTATTTAGTCCCTCATTGTCCACATTTTAGGCTTTTATACAGAAAAACCTAAGACAATCAAACTACGTATGGATGGGGCTTAACTTTACCTCCTTGAAAATGACATGGACTTGGGTGGATGGTTCTCCACTAGATCCAAAGATGTGAGTCAGTCTTAAAACGCAATCTGATTTATTGTCTGTTGTAGAATATGTCTCCTCCAGGTTCACCAAATTCAACTCTGAAATAGTTACTGGTACTACAGAATTCAAAAGAATGAAAATTAATTTAGTATTTACAGGAGTAATGATGGATATTTTGATTTGATTTTTAAAGAAAAAGGATTTGAAAAAGGTAGTTTATGATTTTAAAATTTCTCACACTTTATATAGAAAAGTAGCTTGCATCAACGCGGTCTCCTGTTTTGAAAGTTCTCAATGCTTTCTTTAGCCATCTTCAGTAATAAAATAAAACCAATGTGCATTTTTTGTGTTATGTGATTATCACAATGTTAAAATATAAACAATATATACAACATAGAACAAGATTATCCAAAAGTCTCTGAACAAATGCATGGAATTATTGATTTTAAAAGTTCTGTCAATATTTTTGTGTGCATTATTTTATAATAAAATATTTAATTAAAAATATAATTAGTAAAACAGGTAAATTCAAAATCCCATTCCTATGTTAGTAGGCATGATAATGGTCCCCAGAGATGTCCACATTCTAATCCCAAAACGCTGTGAATATGTCATTTTATATGGCAAAAGAGCCTTTGCAGGTATGATTAAATGAGGAATCTCGACATAGGAATGTCATGCTGGATTATCCGGGTGGTCCCAATCAAATCCCTTAGAAGAGGGAGGAAGCAGAATTAGAGTCATATTGGGAGATATGAAGTGGAACGCAGAGATTCACATGATGTGAAAGCACCTCTGTGGGCCAAGGCACGCAAGTGGCCTCGGATTCCTCCCTAGTACATCCAGAAGGTGACTCTGGAGACATTTTGATCTTAGTCCCGTAGGGCAATCTTGGGCTTCTGATACTCATAAGTGTAAGATAACAAATTAACCTTGTTTTAGGCCACTACGTTTGTGGTAATTTGTCATGGTAGTGATAGAAAAATAGTACATTATAGTAACCAACTTAATAGTGCTATTATTTTCCCCTTATTTCTATTTCATCATTAAATATTAAATATTTTCTATCTGACTGCACTAAATCAATATAAAAAGTGAATAAAAACATTATTTGGATTGAAGGATAAAATTATGGATGTGTGTCATCTGAGAGCAGAGTTGTGTCACTGAACATGACATGAAGTTGCCAAACTTTGTTTTGTCCTCTTGCCACATCCATTCAACACTACCCTTTAGGGTTGAGTTTTAACTCTAGATCATGCTTGGAGATTTTTGTCCATAATATATTCAATACAAAATTTAAATCTAAGCTTGGACAAAGTGTATTTTCTAATATGAAAATTCAATACTTACTTGCCCTTATCAATTTGGAAGCATTGAAGATCACGTGCACCTTTTCCAAGATTCTTTCTTGAACTTTTTCCACAGGTCAAACAAATTTATCAGAATGTATCACTAACCCTACATTGTTTTATATATAAATTTGTTAATATTTTTAATCTGTTACATTATAAGTAAATAGTGCAATAAGTATGGAATTTATTATTTAGGTCATACATAGATCGCTTTGTGTATTGAGTTCTTTACAAACATCAATTCATATAAATGCTAAACAATATCATGAAGTATTGTTATCATCCTTATACAATTAGATATAAGAAGGAAAGAGAGGTTAAGTGAGCTGTCCAAATGGAGTTAATCTTATTTTTAATGTAACTGAACTACATGGGGCAAGAGAAGGAATACTAGAATGGGAATGTGGAGGGAAATTTATTCTCATCTCTGTTAGTTGCAGACTCTCTGGCAACTCTTGACCAACCACAGCTAACAAGGCTAAGTTACAGTTATTGTAATCATTAGTGAACTCAAGTATGTAAAAATGCTTTGAAATTTTGACAAAAGAGGATATTAGCAGAAGGCACAAATGGATGTCTTCAGCAACAGTGCTTAACAAAGTATTCATTCTCTCTTCCCCAGATTCTTCATAAAGGGACCAGCTAAAGAAAACAGCTGCGCTGCCATTAAGGAAAGCAAAATTTACTCTGAAACCTGCAGTAGTGTTTTCAAATGGATTTGTCAGTATTAGAGTTTGACAAAATTCACAGTGAAATAATCAGTGATCACTATATTTGGCCTATTAGTTTCTAATATTAATCTCCAGGTATAAGATTTTAAAGTGCAATTAAATGCCAAAATCTCTCTTTTCCCTCCGTCATCGACACTGGTCTAGCCTCAGAGTAACCCGTTAACAAACTAAAATATACCCTTCAAAATTTGTACCTGATAGTATAAACCAATGTGACTTCATGTGATCATATCCAGGATTTTTATTCATTGTTTATTTTATGCCAAATGTGATCAAATTATGCCTGCTTTTCTGTATCTTGCGTTTTAAATTCTTAATAATGTCCTAAGCAAAATTTCTTATTTCTAAGTGTTGAAATATAATGTGGATTTATACATTTTTTACCCTTTTATCAAAGAGAATTAACTGTGTTTCCAGGCTTCTGATACTCTGCACTCAGCTACAATAAACATCCTGAATGTTTTCTTAAATAGTAACACCTTTATTTCTATGATACAAGCCCTAAAAGTAGAATTTCTAGGTAAAAGTGTTAAATGTGTTGTTTTATATTTTGTACAATTTTTATATGTTGCACTTTTGTTTCCAAATTTGGAAGCTTTCAAACTTATAAGAAGATATTAGGTGCAGAAAAAGAACATACTGCTTTTCTTGAACCTCTTGAGAATTACTTGCCAAATTGATGCATTTTATTATAACATTTCATTTGTTATTGGATACTTTTTGTGTATTTCCTTCCAAAAAAGGGGCTTTCTCCCACATAACCACAATAAAATTATGAAATTCAGCAAATTTACACTGACATAGAACTATCATCTAATTCCCAAATTTCCTTCAAGGTTTGCTATTTGTCAAAATAATGTTTTTAGAGTAAAAGCATCCAGCTCAGAATCAATGTCTACATCTGGTGACTATTATCTCTTTAGCCTCCTTCAATATGGAAGAGTGCGTGAGTCTTCCTTGACATTCATGACCTTGACACTTTTGAATACTACACGTTGATTATTTCGTAAAATGTTCTTCAACTGAAATATTCTGATTGTTTCTCATGGTTAGATTCAAGTTTTATCTTCTTGGTAGAAATGGCATAGAAGTGATGTAGTGAAGCTTGGTCTCTGAATCCTTTCAGGTGGTACACAGTTTTATTTGTTCCATTATTGATTATATTTATTTCATTCACATGATTGATGTAATTTCTGCTTGAATTCACTGTAAAGTTATTATTTTCTCAATGTAATTAATGCATATTTTGGGGAAGTGACTGAGATGGCCTTAATGTCCTCTTCAGCTTGGGGCTACATTCTTCTTTTTTTTTATACTTTCAGTTCTGGGGTACATGTGCAGAATGTGCAGGTTTGTTACACAGGTATACACGTGCCATGGTGGCTTGCTGCATCCATCAACCTGTCATCTACATTAGTTATTTCTCCTAATGCTATCCCTCCGGATAACAAGAACTCAGAAATAATGTACAAAGTTATGATCTAATAACAGGTGTATTCTAGCTTTTTTCCCCAGAAACTTAACTTCTTTCCTACATTCATTATACAGAAATATCAGATTTTAAAGCCTCTTGAGGCTGGAAAGCCAAACCGAGACAAACTTTAGATTTTTTCTATAGTATTAAGGTCTTTGAAACTTCTAGGAAGTAACAGTTTTTATTTACTCATTATAAGGCTGTGAACCTTCAAAGTTAAGCATGTTATGTATATTGTTAAATGTGACATTTTAGTCAAAGCCTTAGTCATGTAACCAATGTTTTTTAAATTGTATTCTACTATTAAGAGAGAGCAGAATTTTATTGGACTTATGGAAATAACTTTATGTAAATAACCATATTGTCATAAGAATACTAAAAAGTACATTTGAAATTTTGAAAGAATCAAGTAAGGAGGAAAAATGCCAAACGGTTTTATCTTTTTTCACAAAAGTATATTTTATCAAATTACTATAAATTATAGGTCACTCAAGAGAGAAAATTTCTTTACACCTGAAAGACAAAACATTTGAGTAAAGGACCAACAACGTTTTAAATAAACATCATAAAAACATGATCAGTTATTGAATGTTATGTAATCAATTTTATTTCTGCTTGATCTTCATTAGTAATTTTATAAATCTACTGTTTATTTTATTAGAGTTTTGGACGTTTTTATTTAGTCTATTAATCTTAAATGTATCAGAAACCTGTATCTATAAGTACTTGTGGGGGTCTTTTATGAATCTGATTATGAATGTTTTTAGAGAAGAATTTAAAACCGTAGAAGAAAACAATTAGAATAGTCATGGTTAAAAACCTGAGGAAAGTTTATAATTGACAAGAAAATTAAGTTCCTTGTATTATAGATGGCATTTAAAAATAACAGCCAGAATTATGACTGCTAGAATATTAGGTATTTATGAATTTACACACATTCTGAAAAATATTTATAACAATAATATATTTATAAATGTAACTAAACGATGATCTACTATTACTTATTGTTTGACAATGTTTTCTACATGATTTATCTAATAAGCATAATTATTTAACATTTCTACAGGATGAGAGTTATATCTTTTAAGGCTTTTCAGGGACCCACCTGGAGAATCCCAAACGTGATTTTAGGTGAAAAAGATTTAATTTATGATTTCATTTTGAGGAAATTTATTAAAGATGTTAAAAGGCTCAAAACACTTGATCAGAGAGTGGGGCTTCAAGATGGCTGAGTACAGGTATCTGGCACCCACCAGCTCCACAAAGAAGCAAAATGTCAAATAGATAATCACACTTTGAAGACAGCACCTGAGAGAGAACACAGTAGTTCAATAGCAAATTGATGGGAAACACCTAAGGTAATGAAGAAGAGGCAGTCTTCCTGGCCAAGGCTGGCTAGGAAACCAGAGAGACTCTCCAGTGCAGAGAAAGAGTAAGTGAGAGACCCCCAGTGATCCACATTCCCAATATTAGACTCCTGGAATCCTGGCCATGGGAGAATCCAGTGATGGTTGCCGACCCTGAGACTCATATACAGAACTCTCTGGAGCTTCAGATATTGCTCCAGAGACAGATCCCAGTCTAGGTCCCGCATATTAACAGAGACCTAAGCAGCTGCAGTATAGCATAATTATGAGAGCTCAACTCCACCAGACTGCATCTCACCCATGGGCCTAACAGCCCCTCAGTCTCCACATCCCTGAAACCCCACTGACACTCCCTCCGTACATCCAGCTGAAGGGCTGCAGTGGCACAACACTGGTGTGCTCTGCAGCACGGCAGTGTCCTCAACACTCTAGCACACAGTGTCCTACACACCAAGGAATTGGTGGCACAGTGCACTGGGGTGGCTGCCTTAAGACAAAGGGAGCCAAAATACATCTCACCAGAGCCTGATTCTCTCCTGGCTAGGGTTACTGCCATAACACTCACCCTGTCCTGCTAAGCAGCAGGGCTGCTGCACATTCGCATTTGCCCTGAAGACTGGATCTCCCCATTCCTGCTCTTGTTGCTCCCACTACAAGGGATCTGAAGCATACACTGCCCAGCCTCTTGTCTCCAGCTGCCACCACTGACAGCAACCCTGAACCCCCCAGCAATAGGGCTGAAATTCACTTATATGTGTCCTCAGGGCAAAGTTCCTCCTCCAACCTCTGCCACTGTTGCCATCAACCAAGTACTTAGCCAGGGACCTGGGAATAACCTGTCCCTACTAACAATAGCCTGTACCCATGCACAGCAACAGGAGGCCTGAGGAACGGGCTGCCTGGCCTGGCATTGCTCTGCTCAGTGCCTGAGCATGCCATTCAGGGGCCTGTGAATCATTACAACCTGGTCATCATTCTTGGTTCCTGTACACTCCCCTGGCAGCCTGAGGATGGAACTGCCCAGCCTTCCACTACCACCATAGCTGGCACCCACTCACATGTACTTCTTGGGGTCCTGGGGAATGGCCCACCAGCTTATTGCAGCCATTTATTTTTTTAAATTATTATTATTTTTTTGAGACAGAGTTTGGCACTTGTTGCCCAGGCTGGAGTGCAATGATTTGATCTCGGGTCACTGCAACCTCTGCCTCCTGGGTTCAGGCAGTTCTCCTGCCTCAGCTTCCTGAGTAGCTGGGATTACAGGCATGTGCCACCAAGCCTGGCTAATTGTGTATTTGTAGTAGAGACGGGGTTTCTCCGTGTTGGTCAGGCTGGTCTCAAATGCCCGATCTCAGGTGATCTGTCGGCCTCAAACTCCCAAAGTGCGGGGATTACAGGCGTAAGCCACTGCGCCCGGCCTTTTGCAGCCATTTATAACCCAACAAAGGCCACTTGGAGGCCAGAGGATTATTCCACACTGCTGGAATGATCTCATAATTGCCCATGCCATGCACACTGCCTGAGGATCAAAGACTTGCCCCCCTACCTGGCCCACAGCTGCCACTTCAGGAATTCAACAAAAC